TTTTACTATTCATTAAAGTGGAGGGTTCTTCGACTTTGCCAGTACTGTTCCATTGTTCCCCAACTATTTTGTTGTCAGTCAAAGTGAACCACCCTGCTGCAGTGGTGGCAGGAGTCCGGCAGGAAGAAGCTGGGCTGCAGAGCCAAAATCCGTGACTGGTGGCCGCCATTCGGTGCTCCGTGGGGCATTCTGCCTGTCCACAAAGTGCTTCCTGCAGCCGGGCTAGTCTGCAGGATATTGAAGTCAGGAGCGGGACAAGGCGCAGCTGGGTAAAAAAGAACTGGTACTGGTACACAGCCAAAGTCCACTCACGTCCTTGTTGAACTTTCACCCTCCACTGCTTCAACAGTTATTATGTTTGCATATCTGGGAAAATTTCACGTATTTTGCTTTAGTTGGGGCTGTTAAATATTAATAAATCTTTTTTCAGTCAAAGCTGGCTTTTGCATTGGGAAAAAGCTTTTCAAATGGTGGCAAAAACTTTTCCGCTACAATAGTTGCTTGTTTTTCTAAGTGTCTGCCTGGCTGTGTTTGCCTTTCCCTGGATGGATATGGATGGTTGGCTGAATGTTGAATGTTGAATGTGGATAGGGGGGTGGAAGAGGGGTCTGCGTCTGTTTGGGGCCCTTATGTAAATCGGTCGTTGTTCCTTTTAGCACTCGTCCTCTCTGCTCACTTGTTTTTTGTACTTCCAAGTGTTGAGTGTTTTGTTATTGAAGCATATTTTCCTCATTTGTTCTCGAGCATCAGCACCCGCTCCTCTTGAATTGTTGTTAGTTAAACACCAATACCACGAAGAGCAACCAGGAAAAAGTGGGCTCCTAAGGTGTGTGTACAACTTTCGGTCCCGAACCCTTTCATAAGGGACAGACCGAAAAGCAAAGGGCTTAATGTGTGTACTCGCTAAAAGCCTGTTACTGTTACTGCCACTGTTCGTGGCAATGGCAACCGTGGGCTCCGGCTGGTAGGCACTGTATTAAAAGTTTTACGGGCTCAAACTTTCGCCAACAAACTTGCGGCAGTCGCATAAAATGTTTCTACTACCTCTGAGCCGGGCCTAAAAGTATGCACAACCCACCAACACACACGCGGCAACAAAGCCAACTTAACACACAATTGCGCTTTTGCATATTTTCGCGCTGCTACAAAACAAACAAAATTCCGCGAACCAAATCAACAGGAGAGCAGCCGGAAGAAGGATTTGATGGGCGGTAGTGGGGTTCCACTCTAAACCAGGTCAAGAGCTGTTAACTTGAAAATTACACAATTTGTGCATTTCGCCATGGAATTAGCCAGTCCACTCGCATTAAAGTGATCAGAAATGGTGAAGCCCGTTTGTTTTGATGAAAATACCAAACCAAAGCTTTGAAAATTAAACAATCTAAAAGGACTAGATAAACAAATCAAAAACACCGAATTCCGTTTGTTTCAGGAAACCCAAAAGCCAAACCAAAGCTTTCAAAATTAAAATCTACTGAACTTAAATGAAGTACTTGATTTTTGTCATATCTACAAAAAAGCAGTTACAAAATGGCAGTGGCTGCCAATGAAACCAGTTCATAATTGCTGACAGTAATTAAGAAAGGCGGGGAAAAAGTGACTGACACTTGGTATATACCCTGTGGGGTGACTTCAACTAAAGGGGAGAGATCTGTTTGTCCCAGTGGTTTCTGACCGCGGGGAGAAGGAAGAAGCTGACTAAAAGGCATTCCTCGACGGAGATATTACACAAAGGTCCACAAAGCCAGTGACCGACGAACTGTTTGCTAAGGTCGACTCACCGAGGAGTTCCTAATATGAAGTCGGTTTTTGGTTTACACTCAAAGCAAGGGGATTTAACAGGTTACATAAATTCAACTTAAGGCAAGGAAGAAAGTTATTAAAACCACTTACCAAGGAACTCATACTTGTTTGAAATACGTATTACAGCATCTCTTATTAAAAAATTATTTAACATTGGAATATATATATAACAGTATTCATTTAAATCTTATCTAATCGAATTTTAGCCTTAATTGCCATATAATTAAATAATATTTAGAAAGTTATTACAATCTTACATTGCACAGAGATTTTTCATCTCTTTAGTGCAGCTTTTTGATTTGAATTGTATTGCCTCGAAACTATTTCGGTTGCTTTCCTTGGCGCTTTTAAATGGCAAACTTGTGCAGGCCCGAGGCAAAGTGTGTGAGGTGGCGTTGGTGCCAGATGAAGATTAATTTATATGTTCACCTCTCGAATGCCACTTGAAGACTCCGAAGACTGAGGAGACCCAACACAAGGGCACAGTCACGGCCATCAGCTGCTCATCTCGAAGCTCCTGCCAGTGGTTTCTGGCTGGCCTAAGGTAACAGACACATCAGCCAGCCAGAAAAAGGGGGCGGGACACAATGGGGCGTTGGGCATTTGTGAAATTCTTGTTTGGGACCCAGACACGGTGCCAAATGAATGATGAATGCTCGCAAAAGAGCTGGTTGTTACCCTCAGCTGCTAAATGTTCTGTGTAAATTCGAGAAAAGTCTGGCTTAAGAGTTTGTATGAACTAGGATTAATGCGCTTTCTCGGTTTAGCAAACTAACAAATCAAATGTATTTTAATTACCATTTTAATAAATATGGTATATCTTTTGTCAGTCACAATTTTAGAATTTTAGGATATTTTAGATATTTATTTTCGAATGGATCTCAATAGTGAACCAAACTAATCTAATGCCAATTAATCATTACATATAGATTCCATGTATTTTTAATGCCTAAAACGACTAATAATAACCTGAGTCGTTCTGGAGACCTGAGGATTAAAGCTTTTGGGCGCAATGGCGGCTTAATTATGCCTGCCAGTCTTATACGGAGTAATCCAATCATTTAATTTATGAGCTATCGCCAAGGAGCCATCAAAATCAAAGGAGTTGAGTCGCTGGCCCCGGGGCCTTTTAATCCAAACCAGAACGTGCCCCCAATACATACATCTATCTTCTGGGATTCCGACGCGGAATGCATTTTGCAATAATTTAACCTGAGTTATTTTGACCCAATTTGTGGCCTGACACATCTTAGCGAAATTAAACCGCTTGCCTGAGGAAACTTCTCTTCGCAGGTGTGCGTCTGTGTGTGGGAGGGAGGTGGTATGTGGGTGTTCAAGCTGAGGGGCTGTGTGAATGCTTACACTAATTAATGCGACACCTGCCTCATGTCACGTTCTAGTTAAGTCTTCCTTTTTTTTGGTTTGCAGATTTAATGAATGCAAGCGTTTTCAATTTTAATCCGCAAAAGCCGCAAAACTTTGGCTAGCCGCCATCATTAGCCGTTGTCAGGCGACAGGCGTCAGGCTGTCATTAAAAATGGCTTAAATGACAGGCCAGTAGGCGGTTTGGAAAGCCTTTTTCCCAAGCGCCCTGTTTGTTGGGTAAAACACGAAGATGGAGAATGGGCAGCAGAAGAGGTTTTCCCCATTTAATAGTGACAAAATGGAAAATGCACTCGCTGCATTTAAAAGGCTCCTTGAACTTCAAGAATTTCAAAGGCATATCGCTGAATGTATTTCCATTAGCGATCACTTCGATGAGGGGGCAGTGGGACAAGGGGAAAACTCTCTGGACTAGAAGGCATAATGGAAAATGCTGGGTTTCCATTAGCGCCCAGAATCGAAGCAGAGGCAGTGAAATTTAAAAGCGCCGTGCGCCCGTGCCTTTTGTTCTTCAACTTTCTCTCCTTTGCATCTCATTGAAAGGCATTCTTTGCCCTCCAATCCGCCACCCCCTCCTCCCCCTCCCCCTCCCCCTGCATCGCTTTGTGCCCGGCTTACTGGGGTTAGGCCTGCGGGCAGATTCCAGTTTGAAGGAGCCCAGGCTCTAATGCAATATACTATATATAGTTAAGCTATAGCAATGTGGGTCCATGCCTGCAAACGAGGTCACTGCTTTGGGACAAAAGTTGTCAACTTGAAAATTACACATTCTGGAAATCTGTAAAAATACATACTACTCACAAATGTACAAATGTGCAAATGCAGGGGGGCGTGGCAAAAAGCTAAAGCCAACATATCTTTGCCTTTGGCCCGGCACAGCAGCCAACTGCACACAACTGTTGCCTTTATTTCGGCTTATCAGCCTGTAAAATGCGCAATTCAAATGCAAATGTGCAGCGTAATTAAAAATGTGCATTCTTCATTTTCCCCCTTGAAACGCCGCAGCCAATTTAAATATGTGTATGCAAACATAACACACATATATATATGTGGGGGAAATTTAATTAGTCGAGACCTTCGGGTCCGCAGTGCTGCTGGCCATAAAAATAATAATGCAGAATATGAACTCGGATAGGGAAAAGTGGTTAAGGCTGAAATGCGACCCTTTGTTGGTTTCCTTTCCGCGCAAATCGCTTTAAGCCACACTATTCATTGGCTCTAACTGAGAGCGCTTTCCACCTGAAAGGGCTCTTGTAAATATTCAATTTCACACGTTCTATCAGCATAGCACCCCGGGAACTCTGGCACCCCAGCCGCCACCCACAAACCGACAAACCATCTAGCAGCTGTCAGCCAGCTTGGCCGCACCCGCAAAAATCGGCTCGGCACAGGCGGCAAATAAAGTCGCACATATTTTCAAATAAAGCTGACGCTATCACAAATTGACAGCAAAGTATTGTGTGGCCGACTACTTTGTCCCATGGTGGGATGTGGGATGTGGTTGGGTTAGGGCTTGTTCCCAAAATGGCCAAATGGCTTTATGCGGTCAACGGACAGCGGGTCCGCTTCCGCTTCCGGTTACACATACACGTACACGTACAAAAGCTGGAAAGTACCCTGCGGTCGCCTGTCACTGCGATGATTGCGCTGCACAAACACAGACAGCTTTGGAAAACTAATAAAGCCGCCATGCGAAGGGAGCCATTGGCCCTTCCCGATGCGCTTTATTAAACAATATTAAACAGGCAATATGCCGCTGGCCATTTCAGCATTCGTATTGCCTTTGTTTGGCCTGTCACATTGGCCCAGAAATATTCAAACACATTTTGAATGCGGCTCGAACAGCAAACACTCAAAATTCCAAAAAGCACTAGCCGGAGGCGAATCAATTGTTTTTAGCCTTTGACTTTCCACTCCCTTTGGGAACTAATCGCATCGTCTTCCAAAATCCTGCCATGGACGGAGGAGGGGACAACCAGCTGGCAGTGAGATCCTTTCGCAGGCAACGCGAGGCCTTCTCCTTCTATGCCGGCGAACCCGCCGATATCCTTCCAGCTCCTGATCCTGCTCAAGGTGACGCAGTTGCCCTGCAAATGGCTCTACATGCCTTTATCCTGGCAGAACTGGCCGAGGATTCTGGTTTCGAGTCCGGTAGTGAGGGTGACTGAGCTCGAGAGGCACGGTCTTTGTAACGGTAGAATCTGTAGATCTCTTGGTTTAAATATAACCTCAATAGGAATGTAATCTCTCACTTCAATAAATGGCAAAAGTTTCTGTATGCAATAAAATAAACTCATTCTATGATTTCATTTTTACTACATTTCATTAAAGTTAAAAATCATATTTTGCATAGACTTTATTATTAAGTAGGTGTTGATGATTTTGATTTTGCTGATTTAATACTAATTACTAATTAATCTTAAATCTTACCTTTTCAAATAGGCTTAAACACTACCAAAGTAAAGTAGACAAACGCAATATTTTGAAATGCCATAATTGGGTTTCGGTTTATTCATGTCGATTTGATTTCAATTTGATTTCAAACACAAATTCCATTTAAACACAGGGATGCTGGGGCATCTGTGTGCGAGTTTGTAGATTAGTTGAGAGTTGTAGTTACATTTATTTTACACATACATAAATACGCATATTTGTATACATTTTTAAAATGCTCGTCCAAGAAGAATTTGTTCTATTTTTTCTATTTTTTTCTATTTGTTCTTTGAATTTATTATATGCTCTTCCGTTTGCAATTCTCTTGTGGAACATCAATAATAAATATTTATGTTTGTTTGCCTGTGTGTACGCTCGGTATATATGTGTGTGTACGTATATTTTGCATTTTGATTTCATAGTTTCATATGTTCTGTATAGTTTTGTTCGACCTCGCTTATAAAAAACTCGCTCGAATTCATTTTGATTTCCCTATAATCGAAATTGTTTTCTACTTTTCAAGTATGTTCCGCTTAATTTAACCCCTTCCGAATAAATCAATGTTTATCACGCCTAAACTTGCTTTGAAATAAATGCTGTCTTTGCCGCTAGAAACCAAAAATCAAATATATTTTCGGAAATCGCTGTAAATTTTGAATTCACTGAATCTATTCGAGAGTTTCTAGGTATATGTTTAAATACAATTACGGGTTATGCCTTAAAATTGTTATAACTACTCGATATGGTGTCTTTCTTTGCCAAGTTCAGCTTTGTTAAAACAACTTCCATACACACTACATCGCTTTTTGTTTCGCAGATTACGTATAGGTAAATTTCTAAAGAAGCGCAAAACAATAACAGTACATGCATGCAAATGAGAAATACTTTGTTTGCTTTTAATATCAAAATTAAAATATTACACACGTTTGTTCATTATTTGTCATTGTTCAGTTTTTTTCGTTATAGATTTTAGTTGCCTATATTTGTAAAAGTTTTTTCTTCCTTTGTTGAATGTATTGAAAACTCTACACGCTTTTGTCTCAGTCGGGAAGTAATCTTCAAACTGATCCAACTGAACTCAATACACACATAAATAGGTATAGATATGGGTATAGATATAGATATATGTATATATATATATTTCTGTTGTGGTACATCTATAAATTCATTACGATTGCTACTGCTGTATACATTTAATGGTTTCTTGTTGGGCTTCGATCAACTACATTGTGGAGAGAGACGAATTCAGATTCTTATAAAATGCATAAACATTCAGCTTAAATCTAGTCTGTGCCTCGACTGCGAATCATCCTTCCTTCCCCTCTCTTCTGTGGTCGTTTTAGATCAATATATATAGAGTTTTATACGAATATATGTAATATATGTTTGCTTGCTGATAGGTTTCGTTTTTAGAGAGTGCTCGGGGCACTCGTGATAGGGAGGGCTTTACACTGAAATCCATACAATTTATATTGAGTTGAGTTAGTTGAGACCTTGACATGCAATATGAGAGTGATTCGCTTCGTTTCGTTTCGATTCCTATGGCTGGCTGCAGTTGTGGCTTCGGTTTCGGAATTTAAATCACGATTCGATCTATTTCTATTCGAAAACATCCCACATCTCCCTGGCACATGGCACCTGGCACCTGGAGTCTGGCTTCCCCTGGCTTCCAGCAACTTACAGCTCGAACCCGTAACCTCAGTATCCAGTCGCATCGAATAGATCCGGCAGAACCAGCGGTGGGCAATTGTGCGGACTGCAGGTGACGCTCGGCATCTCGTCGGGTGTCACGGCATCCGTGCAAATGCATTGCAGACAGTTGCCCGTATCCTGTGGCAGAATGTCGCCAATTTTATACAGTTTGCCTGCAACAACAGCGACGGAAGCAAGTTCGATTTGCAGTTTAAATGGGATTAGGAAGTGAGCAATTGTGACGAGCAGTAATAAAATACGGGGGACGAGGGTGTGTCGAGTTCGTTACACAGAGAAAAGAAATTTGTCTGTTATTATAATAAATAATAATTATAAATGTTTTCTATCCAAGTATTTAATTGGTTTTTAAGTAAAACAGAAATATCCTTGGTGATACTAGCAATGTCTGTGTTAAGAATAAAATAATAATATCATATAATATAATAAAATAATATCATTTAATTTTTGTTATCCTATACCACCTAACATAACATATATATTTATAAACCAAATAGGTATTACCCAATAATTTATGAAGGGTCGGAAATAATAATGATAATAATACCCGAGGATATTATTTCTCTGTGTAGCAATAATCCCTTCGGACCTCCGCTGACTTGCTTGCTTACCCAAAACATTGCACATACGCCCTGGTGCCAGCGGCGTTGTTGTTATAATCGTTGTCAGGGTGTACGGCGGAACAACAGGGCTCTGCTGAGGTTGATCCTGATTGCTGCCGCTGCTCCCGATGCTGCCGATGCTTCTACTGGCTGCCTGTGGGTCCATTGTTGTCCCTGCTGCTGCATAGTTGCTGTTGCTTTTGCTGTTGCTGTTGCCATTGTCGTTAACGCCTGACGTTCTGTTGCCATTTGCAATTAAATCCGTTTGGCGATGGGGATGCACATCAACTGCAGTTAGTGTAATGTCAATATTGACAACGCTCCCATTGAATTCACTGCTGTAATCGTTGTACGAGCTGCGAAAGAAGACGGCATCGTTGCCATTGTCTTTGCCGGGACCACTGCTCCTGTCACTCTTGTTCGTCGTGCCAACATCATCGATTATTGTCGATGCCGGCGTTTCCTGCTCCAGGTTATCGTCGAGTGAGTTTGTGTTGTCAGCATTCAGTTCGGTGGATGTCAGCCATCGGTGGAAGGCGTCATCGGTCTCCGGCTCCGTCTTGGGTCCACTGCGATCACGTTGCAGCTGTCCGTTGTTGGGGCGAAAATAAAGCACAGACTGTTAATTCGACTTGACTGCATAGTAAATAATAAAGCAGCTCGAGCATGAAAAACCCCATTACGGGAAGCGTTTCAGGCTCACTGGACACACCGAAAGTGCAAAGTTCAGACGTCTCCGCCGAGGCAGCCAATGAAGTGGCAGCGGCCCAAAGCCTAATTGGGTAAGCTTCCCGCAGGTCCTTTGAGGCCCACACGAAAAGCACAAAAATAAGACGCAAAAATAAGTAGTTTCGGTGCTCGAATCGTGAAATACCCTAAGGTTCTGAGGTATGCAAAATAATAGTCTTAATAGTCTTTCATCGATAGGTTTGGCTATCGATAGTGAAATAGCATAAAATTACTACAAAAAATAAGGAAAGCTCAAAAAAAAATTTAATTTAATTTAATTGAAAATAAGTACTTGAATCATAACCGATTTTACCGTGATTGAAGTGAATCAATGGTTAACGTTTTTCATATAAAAATTTACTTGTAACATTCAATTATTTAGCTGAGCGATACTATCGATAATAGAAGTTTCCGATATTTTAACACAATCGACACAAACTAATATCGAAAAAGTATCGTTCACAAAATAACTTAATCCTTTAGATAGCATAAAACATTTTAATTCAATTCTGGTTAAACTCAGTCTCAGTGCTTGCATTTGATGGATGTGTTTTCGGTACTACTTTACACACTTGTAGCCAACTCTATGATACCTTCTAACATTTCACAAAGCCCGGAGGCAAGGACCCTTCTCAAGCTTTCCAACTCACATTTGTAGCTGCAACTGTGGCCCCGGACTTTTCCATTCCAGACAGCGTGCTTGTCACCATTTCATTTGTTCCTGTCGCCGTTGTCGTTGTCGTTCTCGTTGTCGTTGTCGTTGTCCTGCTCGCAGACGTGGATGCGATTGTGGATGTGGCTGCCACAGTGGCAACTGCCCGGGTTGTCATCAACGCCTTGGCCGTGCTGCTGCTGCTGCCGCTGCTGCTAGTTGGCCATTGTGTGGGGGGCTGCTTTGTTGGGGGCTCTGGCAAAATATCGCTGTCGGTTTCCGCCTCATCAAAGTTTTTATCAACGGCGGGTTCAACGGCTGCATCTGCAGCTGCCCCAGCCTCCGATTCAGCTGCCTTTTGTCGCGCCAACGCCTCCTGCTGCTGCTGCTCTTGCTGATGTTGCAGCAAGCGTTGTTTTTCGTGCAGCAAGTGCTGCTGGTGGTGCTGGTGCTGATGGTGCTCGTGCTCCTCGGTCTTGTAGTCGTAGTACAGCAGGGCTGGAAGGTTTTCGGGGAAATTCAAGATTTTGCTGGACGAATGCGGCGCCTGCTGGTGCGGATGATGATAGTTATAGTTGTGCGGCGGGGCATGAGGGGGAGGGGGCGTGGTGGAGGCTGGCTGCTGATAATGCGTTGCCTTTGCTGCCTGATTAACAGCCAAAGCTGCCACATTCTGCTGCTCTTGCTGCTGCTGCTCGTGTTTGTGTTGCTTGATTATATTGTAGTTGCCACCAACGTCGCTCTTGTGTTTCTGCTGCTTCTGTAGCTGGAGCTGTTGCTTTATGGCGGACTTTTTATAATCCGGCTGCTTCTGCTGCTGCTTCTGCTCATGCTTCTGCTTCTGCCTCTGGCTGTGGTAAACTTCGTAGTCATTAAAATTCTTTTGATTCCTGCGATGCTTATGCCGCTTGCCAACTTTCCTAGCAGCTTTATGCACTTTTGTTGACTTTCCCGTTGTGCTCTCGTGGCGATATGGATCTGAATAGTCACCATCGCCATCGTCGTCGTCGTCGTTACTTTCGTTGTTGCCGTCGCCTTCGCCAACACCAAGTCCAAGTCCCCCCGACTCCGTCGCCCCTCCTGAAGCCCTGTTTACATTGGCCTTATCTGCGGGGAAAAAGGCAAAAGTTTCTCGTTATATATTATGCAAGCCGGAAAAGGCCGATGGAGAACTAACCGCACTTCTCCCACCAGCAGAAGATCTCGCCGTCCATGCAGAGACACACCTCGCAGGCATCCAGGCGGGGAACCTGCAAAGGATATGGCACATCATTTAAATGTTCCTCTTCCGAGGGTTTCGTTCGGGTCAGCAGTCGGTTGGGTTAGCAGGTGCTCTTGCGGCTTATAAACATATGGCTACATACACACATATGTAAGCGCACCCACAAGCAAACAATCAATCACTTTCTGATACAATGGATGGGTGAGCAAACTTCACATCTTGGCTCAAGGAACAGGATGTCTGCCCATGGCACTGGCATTCATTTCATAACATGTGTGGTAACGAGCCACAAACTCAAATTATGCAATCCCTTTGTTCAATTACTGCGAGTGCTCATCAGATTATCTCTATTCTAATGACTAAAAGATACTGAACTTCAGTCCAGCCTTAGTAAGGATTGCTTTTACTGCAACACCAATATTCTAGTATAATATTTCAATACGAACAGAAAAAGGGGGAACTACGAATATATATTATATAATGTGTATAGGGTAAGAAAAGTCACTTTTATAATGGTTTATTGAATCTACCTCTATAAATTGATTACCAATACCAATTGTTTATGAGGAGTAAAGTTCATCGTCTATTTATCGCCATACCTTCAATCAATTCATCTGATTAACTCTTTTTAGTACTTGAACTTTTAATTGTTTATAATTGTAGTTTCTGGTTTTTATTTGAAATTATTTTAATTTATTAAATAACTGGCATAATATCTAAACGAGCACCTTATATAAATATATTTTAACCAGCTAAATTCCCCAAATGGAAAACCAATTTTATATATAGCACTTGGCTTTACCTTCTGTCCGTGTGTGTACTTGTGGCCGTTGGTGAAGCACGCGGCTGCTCTGCTGTGCGGCTCCAGGTTCTCCTGGGCCGAGGAGCCGGCATCCAGGCCAGAGCCCGCTCCAATCCCTTGAGCCCTCGGCGAGTCGGCATCCAAGGCGTTGTCCTGCGCCCCGCTCCCCGCCTGCCGCTGCAACTCCGCATCGCTGAGCATCTGCTGCGAGAGCAGACGGGCGTCGTACTTCGCCTGGGATTGGGCCGTGTCCAGGTCGTAGTTGAAGTCCTCGTGCTCATCTACATACTCAAAGGGCAAAGCTGCGAAATGGCAAGAACAAATGCGAAATAATCCCGTGCTTATATTACTTTTCACATGCAAAAGTGTACTGTAGGGTGGACCTGTATTGCGTATTTTTTATGGCTTAAAAAGCTCATGTTAGCTACATGAGTACAGTAATTACAGAGAGAAAGACTTAAAATATAGAGCTATGTGTGATAAGCCCTTTTAGTACTTTGGTAATACATTTCAAGCTTATAATTAAACGCTTTTCTTTAAGTTTATTAAAATATTAATTAAATTTTGTAGCAATTATTTTATCTCGATGTTTTGAGATTATCAACTGGTAATACCAGTTTTCTAGCACAGAAATTTACAAAAAATTTAACAAAAATAAAAAAAACCAAACAATTTTTATAAAAAATGTCAGTAGCCAATTTCCGATTTTTAGCTTACTTATACACATAATCTCTGAATAGCCGTCGATTGATAAGGCTTATCAAGTGGCAGAAGCGAAGGCTGAGCTTTTAGTCCAACTTGAGATTTGAAGGCATTGAGATGCGTCCAGCTGTCGTGTTTTGTACGGTGATCGCCGTATTTCTGGTTTCGGAAACTGAATCAGCTGTTTCTAGGGGTGTTTTCAAGGATCCAGCCCATCCTGGAAAGTGTGTCGTTGACGGCTTGGTCCTTGAAAAAGGTCAGACTGCCCGCCACCCAAAAATGTGTGCGCGAATTGTGTGCCAGGACAAAAGCGAAGCACAGATTCAATCGTGAGTTTATGCTTACCAAATTCGATATCGCAAATGTTTTTTAATAATGTGATTTAATTGAATGTATTTTAGATGTGGTGCTGTTGGACTACCACCTGGAAAGAAATTCGGAAAATACACAACTCCAAATGCTGATTATCCCGCCTGTTGCCACCGTGAGATTATCAACGAGTAATACTAGTTTTGTAACTCAGCAGTTTTTAATAAATTAAATAAAAACCGGAAAATCGACATGAGAATTAAGTACAGAAGAATAATTGATGGGATTTCGACCACTAAATTAACTTTTTCCTCTGTGCAATAATATAAATGACAATTTTATAGTTTGGCACACTAAAACCGCGAAATACCTTAAATATTTTGAAGCAGTAAAACGAATGCAATTTTTTTGCACAATTTTTTAATACTTAAATGTGTAAAAGTAAACAGTTGAGGTGAACCTATCTTAGTCTTCACATAAAAGTTCTAGAACAAACAGACGGTTAAATAATCATAAAAATTGTACTCGAAAATATTTGACATTTTTGTTTGTCCATTATCAACTTTTCTGAAAAACCACAGATCTTTAAACATAAACATGATAAACAAATGATGTACCTAAACATACAATTAGCATACAAATTCATTTACTTGTTGACATGGCCGTAGCAATAATTTTATTTGTTTACCCACTTATAAAGTTCCATTGGGACCGACTTGTCTGACCAGCTATTGATAGATACGGCTTATTAAGTCTCAGAAGTGGCTGAGCTTTCAGTCTAACTTGTGATTTGAAGGCATCAAGATGCGTCTAGCAATCGTGGTATTTACGGTGATCGCCGTTTTTTTGGTTTCAGAAACCGAGTCAGCCGTTTCCACGGGAGTTTTCAAGGATCCAGCCCATCCTGGAAAATGTGTCGTTGACGGCTTTGTTCTTGAAGAAGGTCAGACTGCACGCCATCCAAAGAGATGTGAGCGAATTGTGTGCCAAGCCAATAGTGAAGCACAGCTTCAATCGTGAGTTTGATCTGATTAAATTCAGTATAGGGAATCTTTAAAAAATAATATTATATTACTTTAGATGTGGTGTCTATGGACTCCCCCCCGGAAAGAAATTCGGAAAATTCACAGCACCAAACGCTGATTATCCCGCCTGCTGTGATCGTGAGATTATTAATGAATAATACCAGTTCTGTAATACACATGTTTTAACACAAAATAATTAAAAGCCGGAATATCGTAATAAAATAAAGATACAAATTTATATTTATTTTCAGTGGCCCGAAAAATTAACATTTTGGCCCACTGTGCACTGATTCTAAATGCTTATGAGGTGAAAAGTTCCCCGTCTTTCTCTCAATTCAGAAGCTCTAATCTTTCTCGTATTGACTATGTCATCGGACCTTTAATATTATTTAATAATATTTAATTTATATTTTTGTGTGCAGTTTATCGCTGAAATACTTCAAGCTTTGACTTCAAATAATTCATAATTGTTAAACAAGGTCCACCCTAGCGCAGGCCTACAGCATACAGAATCTGATCGGCAAGCTGTTGCCACCTTACATATGAAATTTTGGCGAAATTTCCAGAGGCCATAAATGGTCGCGTTGCTGGCATTTTATTATGCATATTTGATAAATTATCATAAAAATAAGAAGTGAAATAAATCACAGGCCACATAAAAGCAGGCCCACTCGCATTGTGTGTGTGCATATTTATGTTTGTATGTTGTTTTATGGCAAACAGTTGTCATTAAATCAAAAGGCTGCACTCATTATGACATAAAAGCGGTGAGTGGTGAGCGGCGATGCCAAATGGAAAATGTAAAATGTGAAATAAGAAATGTGAAAGCGTAAAGCGCTCATAAAAATTCAGAGTGAAACGCTTGGCGTAATTTATGTAATACGGATTTAATAAGGCTGTAAAATGAATTCTCCCTTTTTATTTCGTCTGCGCTCCATAATTCAAGCCAAGCAATCAGCGGCAGAGAGTTGCTTAAGACGAAGATAGAGGGACTTCCCCAGACATCCCCATCAAACCCCAGACTCACCCTCGGTCCGGCAGAGTAATCCCAGGATGGTGGCCAGCAGGAGGCAGGACCTCAAGGAATTGCCGTTCGTCATGCTGTCGCTCCTAATAATCCCAAGAAGAATCTCACTTTCGGCGGATTTAATGGATGGCATTGCACTTTACTTGCTGCACATTACTTGCACATTTTTAGCGCTTACTTTTCTGGCTCTTCCGGCGCTCTGCTGGCCAAAAACACTCACACACACACTACACAGAACGGTTTCAGCAGGACAACCTTCACCGCTGTTTGTTCGCCGTTTTAGTTTGCTCCGATGTTTGTTTACGCTCCTTCGCCGACTGTGTTTGCGCTAGCACTTTGTACCTTTATACCTCAGTAGTCGCAGCAGTTGCTGTTTTTATCTCACTCGAGTTTTTTGTTATTTTTAGAATGCACACTCGTACACTTCTTTTTCATCTTGCTACTCGAGGGTGAAATGCTGCATTTACAAACCGGATGCTGCGCCTGCTAAATGTGGGCCCTCTTAAGTGGGTAACGATTTTCGCAGCCATGCCAATTTATGGAGGCTGAATGTAAATGGAAACTCAACTACTGCCATTAGGCCTCGCTTATATTGAATTTATTTCGCCGAGCTCCTAATGGCGCAACTGTGATTCGCTTTCCCCCGGCTTTTCCATTTCCTTTTCCCTTTCCCGCCTACTCCTTTTCTGCTCGAAGGATACGACTACGTGTCTGGTTGAGCGGGGGGGAGGGAAAAACCCAACAAGTGTTTCCCCGAGAACGTGCCTTATGTAATCAGCGAAAGGAGGCTGCGGCAGCTGCGATTGCCACGTTCTGTGGTGGCCAATTTCAAATGAAATTGAATCCCATTAACTAATCATAAAGAAGTGAAAGCGGCTCATGAGGGAAAGGCCCATTCCCTGGGTCACCGTCAATCTATTTAATTTATGGCACACGAGAACGAGGACAGAGCTTAGCTTAGCTAACCAAATAACAACACTTGGGGCAGGTGAAGGGGCGCCACCGGGAAATCAGAATAGGAAAACAGTCGCTGGGAAAGCAAAGCAGAGAGCCAAGCTAAACAAAACGAAAGGAAAGGAAAGCATCCGCAGGAGGTTGGAGTCCCGGAAATTCATTGCCAGTCCCGGCCACGTTTGAAGTGTGAGAAATTAGCGCCATGCCAGCGGCAATCCCCATCCAAACCCACGTGACTGTCACACACATTGATAGATGAAACAAAAGCTGGCTGGCGGCCATAACTCCTAATAAAGGCAGTCCGAGTGGCCGGGGTAATATTTAATTTACTTTTAATTTGCGACAATTTCCAATTCCAATTGCACGGGGGGCTGGCAATGAATTATTCGCCTGGCGATTTAATGGCCTTTAGTTTTGTCGCCGCTGCTCACTTTCCATTTGTTTGCGTTTAATTAAAAGGAGCGAGCGTAGAGAGAGAGAGGATCTCTAATTACATTTGATGTGAATTGAATGCACTCGGCGCACGAGAAGCTTTAAATCGTCCGTCACACACGGCGGCTACGCGATAACTGAATCCTGAATCCCGAGACCGAGTCCTGCGACACTCTGCGCTCAACACTGCGACGCCACTGTTGCTGCGGATGCTGAGTCCTTTGTATTTATTGCACACAGCACAGCAGCCGCCAACAACTCAATCTCCGCTCCCTCTCTCTCGCAAGAGAGAGAGAGTCCTTCCTTTCTCTCTTGGCTTTTATGAATGAGATGAGTTGTGCGCATTAAACACAGCTCGAGAGCGAAGGATAACATCCTGCTGTTAGCGCACTGTTAGCCACCGGATTCATGCAAATTGCATTAAAGTGAATCAGTTATGTGCCGTTATCCCGGCCTTTTGCTGGAAATTGCATTTACCTCTCCGCCACTTTGGCGGCAATGCCTTTAGGCCTTGTTGGCCTGCTTTTACCACCTGAAATTGCATTGCCTCTCCGTCCCCGGGCATAATGCAAAACAATATCAGGCGCCACAGCGGAGATTTTCGCCTGCGTTTTCGATTCACTCTATTTGCATTGTACGGAGGAAAATATATCACTGGAGATGGAAGTACCTTCCCAGTTCCCTATTGGTTTCTATAAGCATTTGCGCGGAGTTTGAATGGAAAAATGGTTAAAGGAGTATTTAATTTTTTTACAACTGATAAATGATTAAGTTATCAAAATTAAATAGCCATTGAAATATGTAGTTCTGGATTGAGCAGTATTGCTAAAAGGCAATTATCGGTTATTATTCTTTTAATATTTGAGTTATTTTCTCTCATATAACTTTTTACAATTTATAGATACCATAGTTTGCTCCCTGTTTGTCATTGTTTGACAAGCATTACATTTTTAATATTTTCAAAATTTAACAACATGTTAAAATAGTTTTTATTTTTAATATTTTCCCACTTGAAATCTCCCAATTTAAGTTCTTGATACCTGCAAAAAACTTTTTGGCTTAGAAAATATATAGATTTATGGATCTGGTTCTTTTGAACTTGGCTATTAGCTAAGGGGATAAAACAGAAAAAGGGGAACCTATAACCGGACAGACAGACACACATATATGGCGAGACAAACTGGTCTGTTTAACCTCACAGAAAATATATCCTCTTCAAGGATTTTAAAAACTGTATGAGTACAACTTTGTGATATTTTTTCCGTGCGTGGAATCTTGAGGGCAGGTCATGTGGCTTGGCACCACCCCCCAAATGTTAAAGTTCAGTCTTAAGCACCGGGAATAAAGTGTAAATATGTAAATGACAAAAGCCCGGCGCACAGACGCCCAGAACACTCACTCAAGGACACAGGGGCTGTCAGGACTGTGAGGCCGTTGAGTGACATGCGATGTTTGCTGCTGCTGCTATTGCTGCCACTGTGAAGCTTGTTAGACATTACAATGCGTGTTTGTGCCAGGATAACTGTCAACAGTTGCCGTTGAATTCGCTGCTTTTCTTGGCCGCCTCTCCGCCTTTCTTATTTTTCAAGTTTGCTAATTTCTTTTGTACATTTTCGAGATGCCTAACAACGTCATGCATTAACATAAAATAACAATACCTCGCCCTAACTGGAGGGCCAGACCTCCTACCGCTAGGAATACTTGGATCACGTGCAACAGTTGGCGATGGAATACGGCAGATAAATCATGGGAGATATTTCAAATGTAGTCCGCACACCGAACCCAATCAATTCACTTCCGACCATATGAGAAACGCCAATTGACCCACTCGAAGAGCTGAATATTTATGGGCATGCAAATCGGGTCCCCGATGTGCGCAATTTGTGCCGAAAATATTTATATCGTTATGGCTAAACAATAAGCCCGGCTGACAGATGATGCTGATCCGATATGAATATAGTGTTGGCCAAAGCAATTATCCTGTTTCCACACAAATGTGCAAATTAATCGAAATCATAATAAGCGGAGAGCGAGTATTAAACTATTTATTTTACGCACAGACATTTAATTAAGAGTTATGGCCACAGTTCTAACCGAGAAATATAAATTGTCGCATTTGTTTTAAGCCCGTGTAAATAACTAATGGGTATAACGTTTTTATGGCCTTCTGTTTTTATGGCCGAGTGGTGGTAAAATATAATTATACTTTCAGAAAATGAAAATGTTTACTTTGGCTAGGTTTCATATTGTTTTTACTCGGTATACCTAAATAAATCTTTCGTACTCGTGTGGAAAGTTTTATAAAACGGGCAACTGCTCTTTCTCGGAATTTCATTGAAAACACTCATTGTTTTGAATATTGCTGCAGCAGCATCTTAGACTAATCCTTTTCATAAGCCCCATCAAAGCCTATTACAAAACTTGTGCCATAAATATTAAAACATATTGTTTTAAAATTTCAGATGAGCCATAAAAATGATTCATTTAAATGGACATGTGCCTGCCTGGCACCTAGCCCAAGGCAAGATGGCTTAAGTTTATGCAAATTAAGTTACAATTATAAATTCTGAGCACCATTCCGGCCGCCTGAGTTGGCCCTGACCAAGTGCCTATCTCGCCGGAGCCATCATCTTGGCCTAATCTCAGGACAGCCTCGGGCTGGCATTACACTTGCAAATGCCATATGCCGAATGTAAATATTTAAAATGCTTAAATACATTTGACACTCGAGTCTGCAGCTCTTTGACAGATTCTTCTCGGTGGCATTGTTGAGTAATCTGCCTTTCTGTCCCCTATCATCCGACTGTTTTTGTTGGGGATTCACTCCGAGCGACGGCTCAAAGCACTTGTGCAATTTCATTCGTTGCCTGGATAATACCCTTTAAATTTAGGTCTTTAATACTTGCTTAATTCTGAAAATATTTTAATGCTCTGCCAGTGAAATCGACAATTGATGTTCTGATAACTCAAGCTTAACGTTTGATTCGTGTATTTTGTTTAAAATACATTTTATTCTGTGGCAATGCCAGATTTACCTGTGCAACTCCTCTCCATTCAGCAGCCATTGGCTGACCACATTTGATCACCTGCACATGGAGTTTGATGACCATTAAATTAAATTGATACTGCAATTGAAATGAATTTTATGCATGTTTCCATTCATTTAAACAGAAGTTGCTTGCAGGTGGAGCGATATTTCAGAATTAAATTCGTTTCAGAGGCAGACTTGTCAACTCGCCAGGCGTTGGGTACGATAAAAGCGAAAAAATTGGGTGTTAAAAATGTCTAAAAGTTTTTCCGTGTACCAAACAGAAGTTCGGAAAGTGAACCCACACGCATAAGTGTGAGTATATAGGTATATAGTTGGCGAAACTAACAACAATATGGAAATCAGTTAACAGAAAAAATAACGTAATGGAATGAACTCGAGACTTCACCAACTTTGACTTTTTCACAACAACATTTTTAGTCTCATGGGAGGAAGACGTTCGGTACTGGCTCCCGTTTCAGAATGTAGTGTTTGTGGTAGAGTTGCCAAGTTATCTGATTTCTAGACAAAATATTTCCGAATTTCCGAATATTGCTTATAACACGGAAAAAGTAACATTTTTTTGAAATGTACATACCTTTATTCTTTAAATATTTTAATTTAATTCAAAAACTAGCCCAATTAAAAATATAAGAATTTTTTTTCTAGCGTAATTTTATTAAACCTTAGAGTCTACTTTGAACTCATTATATGTTTTTAACGAAAACATTTTATAATTTAAGATAAAAAAGAAATTTTAGCATCTTTCCATTGAAAATAAATTGAAAACTTTTTCAGTCCTTGAAATAGGCAACACTGGCCTGTGGCTTGGGGCAACTTCCTGTTTTCGTAGCTGTTATCTACGCCTTTTGTCTCTTGGCCAAAAAGTTGGTCCGCCGCCAGAAAACGGCTTGATTAAAGCGAAACTTAAATGCAAAACACTTCAAAATTGTCTGATTACGAACGCAGAAAAACGGAATGCAATTGCGAGCAATCTCGTCCTGCACCTGTAATTATGGCACGGCGAATGGAAAATGTGGAAGGCGCGGCGCCTTGGCGAACGCCCATTGAAGTGTAAAACAAAAGTATGAGGGATTGCTAAAAGCAATTTGAAAACAACAGAGTGAAAACGCTCCCAGCTCCCCGATCTCATCTCCCGGCGCCTCGAAACCCAAGAATGGCAGAAGTTGGCGTTGCCATGGCAATTATGAAGCTGCAAGAGGTTGCAACGCTACGACTCAGCCCTGTAGCTCAAGGATACACTCAGAAATTCTCATCCTTCGAGTGAAACATTTCAGTTATATTTAATTTTGAAATTTGCATATTTAGAAAACCAGAAAATGCTTATTCTATAGCCCCCAAAATTGTATTACTTAGAGTATCTACAGACTTTTAAGTGATATACATTGCTTTACAAATTTGCAGATATTATTCTTTTCCTTTTCCTTTTTTCCGTAACAGATACTTACTAAAAAGACGGCCCTGATAGAAACTATATTTTGTGGCACCACACAAGAACCGGCTAGACTCGATTAAAAAGCTATTCATTTCACTTACAACTTGCAACAAATGAAGCAAGGACAAAGAACTTTTTGTGAGTGTGGGCTGGAGTGCGGATGGTTTCGGAAGAGTAAGGGAATTGCTATCTCAGTGGCATACTTAGCAGGAGACTATGCATTACCCGAGAACTTTATTAAAGTGCACGGTGAGTGCGCCTCGGCACCTGCGGCTGCGACAACTTGGCAGCCAGCTAGGCGGCTATAGCCATGATCCTTTTAGCTGTTTCA